GTGTGTGTGTGTGTGTGTGTGTGTGTGTGTGTGTGTGTGTGTGTGTGTGTGTGTGTGTGTGCGCGCGGATAGAACTAGAAACCAGAATTTTTTTTTGTCTCTACATGACGTACATGAGTGAGACGACATACTATATGTCTGCCCGGAAGTGCTATTGATTATTGAATACAGGTAAATGCTAGTAATTAATTGACGAAAGTTTTCATTCGAGGTCCTGACAGACTATCAGCTTCCTGACATCTCATGTTACCACCCGCAGGAAATTAAGCCCTCTGCGACGTCTGTCGCCACTGCCACTACTGGTTGCTAGGCAACCGAGAGGCAGTCAATAGGCAGCAGGGACAGCTGAGCGTGGGCACGGTAGGGGAGGCAGTGATAATGTGTGTTTGCCGATGACTGCCCCACGTCGAGCCTTTTGTGCAGGAAAAGCTAAGACCCTTTGTGTAATTCGGCAAAACGAATTTCTAAGGTGGGTAACAGATCACATTGTTTGTCAGATTAGGAGTTAACATTTAATTATTGTAAAGAGCACTGCGTACATTTTGTAGTAGGTGTAAGAGAGTTTGTGAGCGCATGCAACCGCCATTACTCATTAGCCTAGGCGAAGTGCATGTGGCGTGCATGCAGGATTCGAAATGATAGCAATAAATTTAGGTGATTTTCTTCTATTGCACTGTTCAGTAATTTGCAAAAATTAGAGGTTATATGGCTTTCAGTATGTTGATGTTGATGCATGTATCAGTTTGTATTTTTCTATCACTGCATGTAAACCCATTTCACTGTCATTAGTCGAGAGTTTGATTCTAATGACTGAAACTCTCACAATATGCTCGAATTATTATTTTAGTAGATCAATATTCTGTTGTGCTGTATCTATTTGCAACCTCATGGTATCATATATATTACATCCATACCACGTAGAATAGGGTTAAAATATCATCAACATATATGCTATAAATAAACAATATAGGTGCATTGAAATTGACACGTCTTTGTTCAAGCTTGAACAAAGACGTAGTGAATCACTGTTTCATTCTGTTCTGGCTCCAATCTACTAACCAGGAAGCCTGTAATCTAAGGCAAGGAAAACTATAAAATCAGCTTGGGACATGCATGCTTACAGTGAGGCTGAGAGGGTCTATGGCCCCCCGGGGTACTGCCGGAACGTACCCTGGGTACGGTCCGGTATACCGAAACGTACCCTGGTACTATCTAATATGCCGGACCGTATCTCGCCTACTCTACTAACGAGTCTAGGGAGTCGTCTACGCCTACTCCCTAACCCGAACCCGAACCCTAACCCTAACCCTAACCCTAACCCTAACCCTAACCCTAATCCTAACCCTAACCATATCAAATAGTGACCAGGGTACGTTCTGGCAGTACCCTGGGGGACATAGACCCTATGAGCTACAGTGAGCCAACTTGGCATCTTGAATCCATCACTATTTAGATTGATGCTTGCTCCAAAATGCAGCATTTCTAACATCACCCCTCCCCACCTATCACCAGCATTTTCTTAGTACCTTATTTTATTTTCTCTGTGAGTACTTTTCAAACACCCCATTATTAGAAACATGTAGGATGCCGGTGACGGATCTAGAAGGGGGTTGGGGTGGTTGCATCCCCCATCTCCCGAAAGCTAGGTCTGCCCCTGGATGCTTAGGGTGCTATACTGGCATATACCAAGCATCCATCCGCCCTTCGCAAATTCTGACCGCCCTACACACTACTTGTGTTTTGAGTTGCACTGATAGATTATTGTAGTCAATGAAATCGACTACCCAATTGTTGTTCTCAAAGATTTACACTAGTTCTGTGAGAGGGCAAATGATCTCTGTCTGAATTCACCTAATTTCTACATGAATGTGATCTATAGTCACCAACCAGCTATAAGTATAACACTTAATTGTGATTAGAAATATTTATTGCTAGAAGAGCTCAGTGCCACATATTCAATCAAGGAGGATTTTCTTCTGCTTGTTTTTTATGATCGGGACACCGAAATGAATCGTTTGGTGGGCAGATCTCTTTGACTGAGATTTGTTCTGACTGTCTCTCACATACTAGATAAAATACTCGGCTGATTCTAGCTGGCTTTGCCTTAACGGTCTGCATATAACAAAGGCACTTGCTTGATCTGTTGCAGGTGATAATGGTGCATTCGACGAGAAAGCATCAGCTGGCGGCGCCCGGGCGTCCGGGTCGCATGCGAGCCGTGCTGGGCTTCAGCTGCTCTGACTTTAGCTCCTGGCAGGCGTTTGTTCGTCTCATGAATCGACCGACAGACCCGGCCAGCCTCGCGATGATCCGCGTGTTTTACGGTGCGTCGCTCACAGCTGCGTGGCCACGAATGTCGGTTGCTTCGCGATTCAGGGTCGCTCTCGTCTGTGCACCATTATTCGTTGTTTACTCAGATGGGGTGGGATGGGGGTGTTTGGGTATGTACTGTCGCAAATGGTCTACTGTTTATATGTGTACAGTCAAGTTATATAGCATCACGGTATGTGAACGTATGTCAGGTTAGACTAGGTGATGGCCTTGGCTTTGAAACATGCTACTAAATGTGTAGATGCTGTAAAAGATGGGATGCTTGGTGATGTTGAATGGTGAGGTGGTGCTGACGAGGATATATGTATGTGTTGCAGGGCTGCTGATGTTCCTTGATGTGGTCCAGGAACGTGGTTTATCGACGGCCAATGCAAAATGGGGAAACCCGGATGAATGCCGCTTTCCATTGTTCAATTTCCTTCAGCCACTGGCGCTAGAATGGATGTACATGCTTTACCTATGCATGTGGATATGTGAGTTTCTTTAGTTTCTGGTGTACATACACCTGGACCCTGGTGGTAATGATTCATAATATTACTGAGAAAAATTATTTGACACAGCTGAAAGTTTCATAGCAGCTAAAGGGATCGAATTGCGATGACATTTTTGATGCCAGTGTGTTATTTCCTATGTCTGACACTTGTTCCTAATCATTCCTGTTTCATATATTTTAGCAACGCTCCTCATTGCTGGGGGCCTGTGGTATCGTGCAAGCTGCCTAGCGTATTGCGTCTGCTACTGGTACCTGTTCTTGCTTGACAAAACGTCTTGGAACAACCACTCTTACCTGTATGGTCTGATTTCTATTCTACTGCTGATCACAGATGCAAATAGATATTGGTATGTATTCTTTTATAAATACGTACAGATCTCCATTTGTCTATGTTCGTACTTCTAGATCTATCAGCCGTAATGGATGCCCTTCATTGATAGAATGATGTATAGGTACCCAGGACAGAGTGCGGTAGTACGAAACTATACATGCATGTGTATGTGTGTGCGCATCATTTCCATTTAACAAATAACACGAATCTAGCTTTCAGTAACATTGTCAGTTAAATTATGCTGTATGTATGCTACATACCAATTCTTTACTCTTAGTTGTGAATAAGGATTATTCTAAAAATTGGAGTAGTGTTAACACGTACGTCAATGCTCACTCTGCATGTACACAAGCTATCTTGATCTGTTACGATGCGCCACAATTTCTACAGGTCACTGGATGGCTGCAGAAACCCATCGATACAGAATTCTCATGTGCCACTGTGGAACTACACACTACTTAGATCGCAGGTGTGTGTCTTGCTAATTGTCGTGGTAATATCGTGTAATTATCATGGTCACATAGTAGGTGTCAGTATAAGCTAGTGAGTCGATCCTTCCGTCCATAATCTTTATGTTATCTAGGGTTAATACTATGTAAGACCTCGGTAGTCACAGGGCTGTATAGGTAATTCAATTGACCTTGTAACAATGTCATCTTTCGTCTAGGCACTTTAATGAAGTTAAGTAGTGAGTTTACAGAGTGGGGATCGTGCTCGCTTTCGTGGTGTCACGTTTTGTGTGGTCGGCGCAGATTAGTGTGTCTGGCTTCACTCACTGACTGCCATTGTCGAGAAGTGCATGCTCTTTTATTTATACGCAGTGGCTACGCGTCCGGTCATCCATTACAAAGCCTAGCACAGATTCCGAAATCCACGTCACGATTAGGCCACGCCCCCTTTCAAATCGTTGATTTTACTGGATTTAGTATTACTTCAAAAGTTACAAAAACACATTTTTTTGATAAAATACCTAAAGGTAAGTAATACTATTGTAAAAACTTATTGTTTATTGTTTTTTACTGAAAACATATAGTTGGGTTCACATAAGAAATATATGACCGGACGCGTAGACATGGGAGTCCACATGGAAGCTGGGCGTCCAGTAATTGGAGGCGTAGCCACAGCTTGTATTTATATGCAAGGTTTCAGATGGCACACACCAGCGTTGTAAGCTCTTGTGGAGCTTCTCACATATATATGCTGATGGTAAAATCGTTCCTGCCACTGTGGAGAGCCATTACACTAGGGGCTATTTATGATGCAAACTCATGTTTGCCTAAGGTGTTTGCTCGCCTATGTGAATGAATTAGGGTGTGAACATTACCACTGGTTATGGCTGGTAATGGCAGGCAGGAGGGTTGCTATAACATGTTCAACTGTGGCCTAGCCACAGTTGAGTAAACGTGAAGCAAACGCGTAGGTGAGCCTGATGATGATGTGTGTAGCTTATTTTGTGCATTTCACTAAATGATTAATTTAGATAGTGTATTGGTTAAAGATTTAATCACTTTCGTGACTTTTATTTGCTTAATCTCTGGCTAGACTAGTTATAATAGAGGAAGGGGGAAGAGGAAGTAGAGGAGCAGAGGATAGGAATAAAGAAGATGAACGAAGAGACAAATGGGGTACGTAGCATGAAGAGGGTTAAAAAGTGGTTTTAAATATTATATCAATTAATTATTACCATTTTTTACAGTCTATCACAAATTGCAACAATTATATACTCATTATCCTCCTCCACCATTCTCGTTCTCCTTCCATTCTCTTCCACCACCCCCTCCTCTTTCCCCTTCTCCACAATCTACACCGAAATTGCCTTTTATCATAGATCCGAGAAACATGCAACTTTCAATCATATGTAGATTTTGACGAGCGGAAAAGGTAGCATATAGAATTAACTCCTCGCCAGAATTTTTTACTTGCCTCCGGCTAGTGATTAATCAAGGCTCTGATAGACAGCTGGCGTGCAAACAGTAGTTGAACCTGCATGAGGTGGATTTTAAAGTCGTCTAGGCAAGCGCGCACGAAAACTGGATAAAACCAGTTGTTCACAAACTGGATTCTAAAAGTTTAAATTCTGTTGCTATTTACTGACATGACCTATAGTATACCCTTGATCACATTCTGGTTGTCAGAATTGTCAATATGTCTGTCAAAATTCCGCTCCTCAGCATGTGCTATTCTGTTCCAGATATTCCTTGTATACTTTATTGCTGGATTGAAGAAAACAGATGCGGAGTGGCTTGGCGGTCATTCAATGGTCAGTCTCTCTGAACACTGGACCTTTGCTCCTTTCCGGTAAGTTCTGCAGATATGCGGTACAGCTGCGTGAGTACTGCACTGTAACAGTGGCAGATTCTTAAGCCCCTGAGCTCGCATGCAATCAAGATGCAATCCATAATCCATACTAACGTGCACCACAACTTGCACACAACATTAGTATGACTGGTTATTTGCAAGTGCTTAATGGCAGTGTGGTTATATCAACCTGTGAGTAATGCAGTGAAGAAAATGGATTGAGTGAGTGAGAGAGCAGGAGTCGGGGGTGGGGAATACAGGCACATCGAGATGGGGAAAGATGGAGGGAGAGGTGGAGCTAAGACTGAGCAAACAAAAGCGAAAGAGAGGGAGAGAGAGAGAGAGAGGATAGTTGATAGACAGGGAAGGCAAGAGAGAAGGAGGAGAGGGAGAGCTAGGGAATCAGAGAGAAAGAGGGAAGGATGATGAAGGGAGTTATATAGGGAGAAATTAAGAGGAGATTTAGTCAGCCACTCTCTTTATAAGTATTTATTATCAACGTGTTGCGCAGGCTGATGTTAACGGAGGCACAGACAGACTACTTCATTGTGCATCTGGGCGGATTCCTCCTCGATCTGACCATAGGCTTCTTCTTGTTCATCGACGTCTCACGGCCATATGCTGTCTTCTTCTGCACCTCATTCCACCTCATGAATGCACAGATCTTCCAGATAGGTGAGCGAGGCCAGGAAACGCTGGAACCTGTTTGTCAGCTTATTTTGGTGCTCGTAAATGTTTAGTGCTCGTGAAAGCACACTATGGCTTGTCATGTGTTTTCTAACTGTTTCCATATTTTCTCGACCGTTCTGAACTTCTGGTATTTACCGGTGCTCCTTGCGTAATTTCAAGTGTATATAGTAAGGCTAACATGTTATAGAACACTTGCACATCATTCTTTTTACCAATATGTGCACCTGTCTGCATTTCAAATTAGATTTGTTTACATATGTCCACAAAACTAATGCTAGATTTTCGCTCTTGCGAGATGCCATCGACTGGTACCCTGTCTTTACACTATGTCACCTGTATCTACATTTTGAGATAGGTACCAGTCTACACAAAATTTGCATCACGTAACTATGGCTGATAGGGTCTATGTCCCCCAGGGTACTATCGGAGGGTACTCTGGTACGGTTCGATATATCGGAACGTACCCTGGTACTATCTAATATGCCGGACCGTACCTCGCCTACTCCACTAACGAGTCTAGGGAGTTGCCTACGCCTACTCCCTAACCCTAACCCTAACCATATCAGATAGTTACCAGGGTACGTTCCGATATATCGAACCGTACCCAGGGTGCCCTTTGATAGTATCCTGGGGGACATAGACCCTATGCGTAGCTATGTGCACTGTTCTTGTGAATCTCAACACAGCAGGCTCACGTTTGCTGTTCATTTACCGTTTTATAGCCTGTAACTCATAATAGCACAATCTCGTAACGGTTTTTATACTGAAGTAATCAGTAATATGTACACTACCGTGTAAAATATTGCTTAATTAGCATTCTGCATCTTTCATTCATCTGTGTTAATAATATAACTATAGGCTGTGCCTAAGTTAAACATTTACATATTGAAATAAAAAAAAGATTCTAAATTATCATTACATTATAAATCATATTCATTGGCAATTTTACTTGTGATTGGTTTAGACCTTGCACTAAAATATGTGCAGGAGATAGAATGACTGCCAGTCTAACATGTCTAATGGAAATCTTTGACTATTTACAGGCATGTTCCCGTGGGTGATGATTTTCACTCAGGCAATCTTCTTCAGCAATGACTGGCCAAGACGGTGGATCAACCGGCTGCCAAACTGGCTGGAGCAGGTACTGCCTTCAGACACGCCTCCCCAACCCAGCCCACACTGCCTGTATAGCAAGGAAGAGGTGAAACCTGAAGACCCCACACCCAGCTCTAATGTAAGTGAAGTAAAGTATTGTGCTCCCAACTTTAGTGTATGTGAAGCTGATTGTCCCAAACTAAGCTACGCAACTTGTATATATTCATAGTTTAATATTGTTTATTCAAGTTAAATAAATAACCTTTGCGAAATTGAATATTGTAGTTACAAACACCAATATTAAGCAAGTCGCGCTATAATGACCCATATATGCCATGCAAGTACTAAGGATACCAATTTTAAAGTCGTTTTTTATTGAAATGGCTTCTTTGCTCAATGAAAAGACTCATCACAAGAAGAGAAAGTTCAGGTCTTCTTCTGTGGGAGACACAAAGGCAAGCGGTGATGCAAAGATGGTTACTGATGTTGCTATGGTGATGCGAGACAAACCGTCCAGTCTCCACCAGTTGGCAGCACTGGGGACAGTAATGTACCTTCTGTCACAGTGCTTCTTGCCTTACTCCCATTTCACGACAAAGGTAAGGTCGAAATAACGCAGTACACCTAGAGCATCATTGCTCTCGTGCCACCTTCTTTGGGTTCACCAAGGCTGTAATCAAACCATTGCTAAAGCTAGATATAGGTATAGGCTGCACTACGTTTTTAGCGGAAATAAAGGGTGTTTAACCAGTATTGGTTACACACGAATGATATGAAGCTACAAGATTTATTGACAGTACATTTACTTTCGTTTGTAAACATGATGGCATGTTTAGCGAGCAGACACAAAAGGTCAATTCTAACCGTGCTGTGCTGTACATATATGCTTCTCTCGTCTGCCATTCGCTACTCTAGCCCACTATATCTCTTGCTGATGTAGCAAATGCACGAAGGATCAATACTATACATATATTTATATATAAGTACTGCTGTCTGCTATGGGTGTGGATGATGACATTGCTGTACAGTAAGGAAGCCTAGTAGCTACTGTTACAGGTCACACGTGTCAGCAGTTAGCAATAAACAGTAGATTTAACTCGCACCTGGCTTTTAACTTTGCTCATATTGGATTGAGGTTGCCGAGAATAGCAAATGTGATTCGAATTGAGTCAATTTCATTTCACCAAATGCCAGAGTTAGAGTCATTACCAACACTGCTGTCCCTTCCTCTGCCATCAGGGCTACAACAACTGGACGAACGGGCTGTATGGGTACTCCTGGGACATGATGGTTCATTCGTGGTCGACACAGCACATCAAGATCAGCTTCGTCAACAAGGACACGGGTGAAGAAGGTTACCTCGATCCTAACGTGAGTAGACGAGGGAGCTTTGGAGCCAACGTAATAGCACACAACACCCAGTCTTACTACTACTACTACTACGATAGATACTGTACGTGTGCCATCGACTTACAGTGATCATCTGTACCCTTACATATCACGGTTACAATAAAGACTGTCTACTATGATAGAAATGTGCTCAGCGATGGCACGCGTGTGCAGTATGCGGGGTTTGGCGGTAGGGGCAGCTCATCCTTGGGTTCTCGTTAAACATCTGTGCTGTCTCTGCAGGCTTGGACAAGCTCCAACAGGTGGCAATGGCACGCGGACATGATAAAGCAATACGCGCAGTGCATCAACCGCCGACTGCGCAAGTACAACATCACCAACCTTGCTCTCTATTTCGATGTGTGGCGGTCCCTTAATGGGCGCTTCCAGCAGAGGTGAGTCTCTTCATGATTGAGAGCTATGGTGAGTCATGAGCTTTTCATGTTTGATTTCCGAGAGGTAGTTCCCAGTTCATACCCAAACCGACGCATGCCCCAAACACGCAACACCAAGCCCCTGCCCCACCGCAAACCAGCCCTGCCACAATCGAACAACCTAGCCCTAGAACCACACCACGCTAACACGCAGCCCTGCCCACCACACAGCATAACACCCAGGCCCATGCCACCCACCCGCAAACACCACAGCCGCTGCCACCACCAACACAGCGCTTTGCCCCCACCACAAATCACCAGCCAACCTATGCCCCACACACAACACCCGGCTGCGGCCCACACAAACACTCAGCCTGCCCCACACAAACACCCAGCCCTGCCCACACGCACCCACCCATGCCCCACACGAACTCCCAGCGCCCTGCCCACAGCATCACCCAGCCCTGCCACAACACCCGCACTAATGGCCCCACCACAAACACCAGCCATGCCCAACACAACACACACGCTGCCCACCAACAACACCAGCCCTTGCCCACCGCGCAACACCCAACCTGCACACCAGCGCAAACCATCCTCTGCTTGACAACGCAAACTCAGCCCTGCCCCATCACAAACACCCAGCCCAAATCGCGCACACAAACAACAGCCTGCCCCACACAACACCCAGAACCTGCCCCACCACGACAACACCCAGCCCTGCCCCACCATAGCAAAAACCACCCACCTGCTCCCACACATAGCACCCAGCCCAATAGCCCACCACACATAACATGCCCTGCCCCAGCACGAAACATCCCAGCGCTGCCCAACACCACAACACCGCAGCCCTTGCCCCACCACGCAACACCCCAGCCCTGCACCACACAACACCAAGCCTGCCCACACAACACCACAAGCCCTGCCCACACACAAACCAGCCTCTTGCCCCACAAATCACCCAGCCCTGACCCCACCACCAACCAGCCCTTGCAGCCCACCACGCAACACCAGCCTTGCCCCACACACAACACCACGCCCTGCCACCACACAACACCACCTGCCCACGCGAAACAACAGCTGCACACAAAACCAGGCCCTTGCCCACACAAACAACCTAGCCTGCCCAACAACACACCAGCCCTGCCAACATGCAACACCCAACCCTGCCCACCCAGCAACACCAGCCCCTGCTCCCAGCCACGCAGACACCCAGCCACGTGCCAACCACACAACACAGCACACTGCCCACCATGCGAACACCGCAACCTGACACCACAAACACCAGCCGCCCCCACACAACCCAGCCATGCCCCAGACAACAACAGCCCCACGTGCAACCGGACAACAGCACACAACCCTGCCCCAACCGCGGCAACAGCAACCCGCCTAGACCCACCAGTATGGCCCCAAACCACCAGCATGCCCCACCGACACAAACCCAGCCACTGCCCAACATCACAACAACCAGCAAACTAGCACCACAAACAACCGAGCCCTGCCCCACAACCAGCAGCGCAACAACCAACCTGCCACCACGCGCAACACCAACCATTGCTCGATCACGCAGACACCCAGCCGCTGCCCCACCAACAAACACCCAGCCCTGACCGCACCACACAATCACAGCCATGCACCCTACACACATACAACAGCCGCTGCCACCGACCACACAACACCCAGCCCTGCCCCACCACACAACACCCAGCCCTGCCCCACCACACAACACCCAGCCCTGCCCCACCACACAACACCCAGCCCTGCCCAGCGCCCGCAACCCAACCAAACAAAAAAAAAACCTGTCGAACCACGCAAACCAGCCATGACCCACCACGCACACCCAACCCTTGCCCCACGCGAAAAATCGCCAACCCTTGCTCGACCACAGCCGCACACAACCCAGCCCTTGCCAACAGCGCAACACCCAGCCGCCCCCACCACAACACCCAGCCCATGGCAACACCACGACAACAGCCGCAGCCTCCCCACACACAACACCAACACTTGACCCCAACCGCGCAACCACACTTGCTCGACAACGCAAACCACAGCCACCATGCATACACACACAAAACAACCCAGCACCTGCCCACAATCGCAAACAACCAACCCTGCGACCCACACAACAACACCACAGCCCTGCCCCAACCACCAAACCAACCCTGCCCCACCACCAACACCAGCCTGCCCCACACAAACGCACCCAGCCCTGCCCCGCACACATAACCAGCCTGCCCCAACGATGCAACACCAAGCTGCCCCACCGCAAACACAGCACCTGCCCAACCCCAGGCGCACACCAGCCCTGCCCCGACAACGCAAAAACGCAGCCCTGCCCCCACGGAAACACCCAGCCCCTGCCCCACCGCAAACCACCCCTGCCCACCACTGCAACACCACAGCCTGCCCCGCACAAAAGCGCCAGCCCTGACCACACAACACCCAGCCCTGCCCCACCACGCAACACCTAGTCCTGCCCCACCACGCAACACCCACCCCCCAGTTCTGCTTAATCATGGCATGTATAGACCTCACATACCCTGCCACCCACCGCTGCCACCCACAATGGCGCACCTTTACAACGCCAACCAACCCCCTGCAACCCTCCACTGTACAAATCGGCCACCTACCCACCAGTAATCACTGCACTGTGCTTGTCGAAGCATGCGCCATTACCCTACGCACCTAAAGGCGGGCTTATGTCGGGCTTGCGAGCCGACTCGACCGGAAGCAACTGGAATTCGAGCAACTGAAAGCGATCGGCAGCGACTAGTTGCGTCCAGTTGCCCAATGTTCTATTCCGAGCAACTAGTGGCGGCCAGTCGCAGGCAGTCGCGTCGCAGTCGACCGACCTAAGCACTGCAGTCGCAGCCAGTTGCTTCCAGTCGAGTCGGCTCGCAAGCCCGACATAAGCCTGCCTTAACACTCGCACCCCAACTCTACAAGATGGCTTCCTGTCACGCAGAATGTACAACCCGAAGGTCGACCTTCTCGCTGCTGATTGGTCGCCTTTCCACGACGTCACGTGGATCATGCCACTTCTCACGGATCTCTCCGATTGGCGAGCGAAGCTAGATGAACTTGAGAATGAGCTGCTATTGACGAGCAACCACACAGAGTGTGTGTTTGTTGCCGACTTCCCTGGTACGTATGTGTATGTATACCGTGTGTGAACCTTCACCATAACTAGGAATATGTTTCTGCCATCTACTGCCACTTATAACCTATGACTGACTCATTGTGATGCGTGACAGGCCACCTTACGAGTTTATAGTTCCCGCATGTATTGTACTTCCTTGCATCGGAATTTTCACGGCTGATCTGTTTTAATGATTTAATAACATTTATTAATGCTGTAGTTATTTCAGTTGCTGTAACGTCTAACTGTGAAATCATATCATGCGGCTTTTCAACGACAAGCTATGTGCATGGGTGTTAATTCATTACGTTCCTACAAACATTTGCACTTAGTGTTGACCGTCGTACATATGCCTTCCTATGATAATCTCCACTAAGAAGAGATTACAGCACAGTACATGTGGTATGTCGCCTGAGGTTATGTCTGCTTAGTTTAAGCAGTCGTCGTAGGTAGACAGTGCCAGAGTGGCAGCGCTGGCTCTCACAGAAGTTGCTCTACAACATTTGGCTCATTAGTGCGCGCGCTTAGCGCTGTAGGAGAGTGTCCTGCGTACGTGGAACACATACTCAGCACAGCTTGCGACTAATGATGGCCATGGGTGAGCGAAGGCATACAAAGGAGAAATACGAAGGGCTGCAAATTGCCGTGACAGTCGTGGGTCTTGCGGGATATATACCCACGTAAACACGGTATGCAGGAGCAGGAAATTGTATTTTATGCAGGTGCATCAAATTATATCTGAAAACGTGCATGCAAATGTGTATGCACAATAATAGCGCTGGGCAATGAAAAGCAGGCGTATTCAGACGATGGTACAGACGCTATGAATTTAAAGTGGGTTCAAGTCAAGGAGGGCATGCACGCTGTGGAAGAATGGAAGTAACAAGACGTTTAGTATACCTTATACTTATACAGCATATGCACATATACCAGGATAAAATCCATTTCTACCAGTGGTGTAATGGTAAAAATCTGTGAAGATTACAAACAAATATCGCAGCCCAAAAAAGTAGTGTAGATGATTGGTTGGTCATATTTTAGAGAGGAAATAATAATCTACATAATAATAACTTGCATATATATAATAAATAATACATAATATCATAATAATAAATAAATTTTGGATTTAAATATTAATAACTTGCTTGAACTAATTTGCTTAAACTAGAGAGCATGGTTAATTGTCACGTTTTTTAAATAAAAAATATATACTATATATATTATATATGTATACATATATTCAAGAGTAGATAATAACAGTATAATATAGTAGTAGTAGAATAATATAGTAGTAGTAGAATAGTAGATAATCATAGTTATATTATCTACTCTTGATATATTGTGTATATATTTTCATATTGTCTCTATGACTTGTTTTGCAATAATATATTGACTCATTATACACATTGATATAATAAGGTGTGCCTTGCATGTGATGAGGAGTTTTTCAAGCCTATTAAATTTTGTCACATAACAAAGTACATTACAATAATATTAATAATCTTTATATTACATACTTTCAAGTTAAATACGTATTACATCAACATTGCTACATGAGAGTAGCAGTATTTTCCTTTCTAATAATTACTTAATTTATAAATACTTTAGGTTTATACTTGGAAAACTATATAGAAGAGGAACTTGGGAATGTTTCCTTGCATGTCCTCAAGGGAAATCTGGTTGTGGAGCAAGAGAATATTGGTAACGTGTCATTGCAGACAGGAGACCAGGTTCAGGTGCGTACGATGTTTTAGAATTTCTCAGCTGTTGGTATTGATTCTGCTTTAAGTTTATTTCACATAGCCAAATGAATGAAGCTCGTATCGACTTATCAGAAAACTCGAAAAAATGAGAAGCGAATAGTTATTGATGCACGGACTATTTATCGTTCACGAACGGACTGAATTCTGTTGCAGATAAATCCTGGGGCATTCCACTTTGTGCACACGGTGTCGGCGACGCCATCCTGCTACATGTACCTTTACACGAACATGACTCTCGTTCAGCTGCAGCGTAACCTTACTGAGTTTGAGGCGAAGCTCGCAGATGCTAACGTCACTGACGGTAATTAAACTTCCTGCGAGGGATTGCTGTCATGGCTATAGCACCTGACTGCATGGTTCTGTCCTCGGTGCTTACGCTGACAGTTCACGCGCTGTCGTAGCAGGAAAGACGGCATGATGGAGTTCATCCACGCATTATGTTTCTTGTTATCTCGTCTGTTAGTGCGCGATGGGAATACTGACCAGGGGATTGCAGGTGCAACGTGTGGCCTTCGGCTCGTTTGCACTCAGAACAGCAAGTGCTCGTAACATGCTTGCCGAAGTCTGTTGACCTTGAGCTGCGGCCCACACAAACGTAGTGTCAAGGTCTGCTAGTGCTTGTCAGATTCTGATTGCTCTTCTAAATGCTGTGATGACTGTCTGAATTTACAAACGTTCAACGAACTCTGGTCCTGGGGCGATTGAGTCTCAGTGTGTATGCCTACAGCTACTCGATAGAGCTGCAATTCACGATCGTTGCACTAATGCTGATAGTGAACTAGATACTAGATAGTCACCGAGGTGAAGATAGTAGTCTCATCACTCCTTCAGTGCAACGGCATGTGTAATTTGCAAGCCACCAATCATTAAGAAACTGCCATTTGTGGAAAAGAGGACGTGCCATATATCGCTAGAGTTGTTAATCAACCTGTGTGGTTTATTGACTTATTGATGACTATTAATGATAAATCACACTATAGAGAGTGATTTTTACGGCTGTAGGTGCGCCTGAAGATTTGGACGCTGTCATGGAAGCAACCCCGGACTCATGGCGCTACATGGACCTACTCATGCACAAGAACAAATTGCAGATGCAGAAGGGCAGGGGAATTGTAGATGCCGCAGGTTTATACTGGTTTAACAAGCTCTGGCAATTCTGGAACAGGTATGAAACTAGGACTTTCTTTGCTCTGAGAATTTAATGACACGTGATGAATGTTTTTTTTGTCAAGGTTTATTAAATTCGATCACTGAACGCAACAATCAGTGACTTAATTGCGTCAAGTACAAAATTGCTTTAAATAGGAGAGTAGCATGCATGCATGTTCTCACAGAGTAAAGTGTACTGTGTAGAGTTTACTGTTACATTATTAAGAAGCAATAATGAAGCTACATGAAGTAATAATGAAGGAACAATAATGAAGTAAATTAATAAAGAAGAAATTAAGAAGCTACTTTTAAATATCATTATTATATCAGGAGTGAATAATAATAGAATCTATTGTTATTCACTTCTGATTATATTTAGTCACTGCTGAATAAACTAACTAGTATTAACAATTATAGTACATAATATTTTAATATTTTGTATATCAAAAATTAGAGCATACAATACTTATTATCATCAATGCAGTTTGTTGCAATGAAATATTGCATGGGGTTTGAGCACGTAATGGAAATGAGAACCATAGTTATGGCTTCATCCACACCAATACTACATGTAAACCTTTACAGAAACCTGTTCTCAGTTCAATGGTTACTAAATATCACTTTAGTAACGTCTCTATGATTCTATCTTTCAGTGTTTACATGCTGGGGCAAGCAGTCGTTTCCATAACAACGGGGGTGCCGATGCGAACTCTGCTTAACACAACCGGTCATGTCTATGGGGCGGCAGATGAAGTATCATTGCCCGATGTTTGACGTTCGTAAACCTGCGCAAAAACCAATGACAACAAACTCGCCATTTATTCCTTTTTGCCAAACCAGAGGGATAGAAATTATGGCATACTTTGGTATGGCAACAATGAGGGCAAGTTTCACCCGACTTTCATTTTGAGGAGAATTGCAGTTTCCACGTGTAAGTTTTTCCTGATGTTGTTCCACAAAAATGTATTTGCATGGATCAGTGACACCAATCTCGGTGCTTCTGCTGCATCTTGAAGTAAGGGTGCACTTCAACCTTGCGATATGTAATACATCCGTTGGTTTTCTTTAATGCAAAATATTTGATCTCAATCATCAGTACCAGTATTAGTTAGAGCGATAGAAATAGAGAGAGAGAAAGAGAAATACGTATTTATTATTGGTTATAGTGTTCGTTTTGAATTTAAGCTTTAAAAGCTCGTATTTATTTTGTTATCCGTGACGGCCAGTTGATAACTCAGTATTCCTTCCCTGTCAGTGTTAATTTCCCGTTGTATTTCAAATTAAAATTTAATCTATTGTATTATATCGAACAGCCAAAGTAATGTCTTTATAATGTAATGATTAATTAATTATTTATAAATGTCCAAAATAATAAAATATATAATTAATAGATGTTTGTATAATGTAGTCACCAGACAAGTTAGTATTTTGATTTTGACATTTTGATCTAGTGAGTGATTTTAAGAGATCTGTGTTGTTTCTTCCAGCTCAACTGCTGTAAAATGGGAAATTATTTTAGTAATACAACCTTTACGTAGCAGTTATCGATACAAGGTACACTGTCTGTGCCTGATACTCATTAAGACGATATATTTTGTTCCATAGTGTATTAAAAGAGTAGTATATATGTGTAATTATCACATAGTTAGTAAAGTTGAACGTAACAGCTAGCCTGGTGTGAGAAGTGTAAACATCAATTTCGTATTTACTTGACCATCACAGAATTGATCAACCAAAATTGCCATAACTTTTCGATTCTGATACACATCTATGCTGTGGGTATGTAATTCTGCATGCCAGAAATTTTATTGACAATAGTCTATTTTAAATGTGTTCCCGATTGTTTCTGCTACATTAAACAGTAGTTTTTCAGCTGCAATGCAGTAATTGATACGTACCACCATTTATGTTCTTTGTAACCTGCTTTAATTATTACGCGTTTTAGAACATACCATGTTGCTTAGTTTGTAGAATATGTGATTATACTTAAGGGGAATGTTCATTGGCATAATTCTAGTAATCTAACTGCTAATAAGATTATGGTAATATGTTAAATTAAAAGGTACAGTTTCCATCTTTTATATTAAATGAATTATTTTTGGTTCTGTTAATACAAGTAGTTGGTGGTGGATTATCGGAGCTAATAATAACGGAGCAAATATAATAGAAATGCGACAAAACAAGAAAAAAGATTTAATCATTATGTGTCTAATTAGTAATTAAGCGAAAATATTTCGGCATGTCTATCATTATTAAATGCAAACTAAACTTTTGCACATTGATGAATCTGAAATTATATGCCATATATCGTCAACTTTCATACATTTAAAAAATATTACATCATTATACCTACGGACTTGCATCGTTATGAGACTGCAATCTGTAGATACCCGTGAGAAGCATATATAACCTCAGAACGCCTGCGCGTTATTTGTGCCTCGATGCTATTGTTCACACAATATCAGGCCCGTCTCAAGCTTTTCAAAAAGAGCTTCAAATTAAAATTTTCTGTGAAGTAATGAGGGCGAACATGACGAACGTGAAGTCCCTCGCGGTCGGGGTCCAGGACCCGCAGTTTTATACGGGCGATACAAAAGCTTTATGCATAAACACGCGAAAATATTGGCCCTACGCTAACATTTGCGTAACGAATTGACTTGCCGGCTAAATATCCAATTCCCGGGGTAAACTGGAAAAAAATGGGGGTGCGACCGCACCACAGTATTGTACTTCATATCTGTACAATTGCTATACTTATCAATAAAATTGACGATATAGGTGAAAGGTGAGATCGACACGGCCACCAGGTGGCGTTGTAAGGCCGTATTTCCCCAGTAGTAACTTTACTCGGTTGTGATTTACTAACATTTTCAATGGGGTTAATTCCTGATTTTTTACGTAAAACGAGATAGAGATTTGTGCTGGCTTAGAAAAATGATGCAAAAAGCTTGATTAATTCGTAAATCATTGTCATTTCATTTCAAGCTCAAGTTGCGTTCCGATCTCATGACATTCCTAATTGCTAAGACCGCTTGTCTCCTCGTGCTTGCATGACATTTTGTATTTATTACGACAATAACATTATTGACAATTTATTACTGTCGATTATAAGAAAGCTACACATTATTTTATTATTTTTAATTTTTTTATCATTACTTTATTATGCGATTTAATGGTGGTTACGCGCACATGCAGGCACTTGGAACGTTTCAATAAAAAAACATGGTAAATAAACACGGAACATATTTACTACCAAAGTCATAATTTACTCTCTTTCGCTTATTATTGCCGATAATTTCTTGTAAATGCCGTTCACCCCTTAGGACGAGTAATTAAGAATAATCTTGAGGTTAATAACTGATCATCCGAGAGTTCATAGGAGAGTGCCACGCAGGTGGCAGTAAGTGTGGCTGGTGCTGGCGCGCGATCTCGCTCTGTACTGCTACCGCCGCGAAGTCGTGTACACGCACGCACGCACGCACGCGCGCGCGCTGACTCGTGCACGCACACCCGACACACGAGCGGGCGCTGATCCTAAATACGTCGCTAAATAAATTAAATTTATTTATGTAAGCAGTACAGCTTTCCCTATGTAAGGATATATACGGCAAAAACTGCCGAGTTTAAAATCTTTCTCTCTCGCTCTTAATTGCTCTCTACTTTTTTCCATCTTTTTCTCCTTCCCACTCTCTCTCTCTCTCTCTCCTCTCTCTCTTGGTCTCCCTCTCTCTCTTCTCTCTCTCTCTCTCTCTCTCTTTCTCTCTCTCTCTCTCTCTCTCTCTCTCGTCTCTCTCTTCTTTCTCTCTCTCTCTCTCTCTCTCTCTCTCTTTTCCTCTCTCGTCTCTCTCTGCTCTCTCTCTCTCTTCTCTCTCTCTCTTTTCTCTCTCTCTCTCTCTCTCTCTCTCTCTCTCTCTCCCTCTCTGTCACTCTTACCACCCCACCTCTCTCCTTCGCTAACCGCATATATTTATATTTGTATCAGGAGTCTATCAATATTGATAGACTCCTGTTTGTATGTATATTTATATAATAATACATAAGGTAATTTATAAATTTTATCATTTTTATTTTTGTGTTTTCAGGCTATGAAGAATACTGGGGGCATCAATTTCCGAACCGATCTCTTACAAGTTCATCTACAGATAAGTACTGTTATTCTGCATAGGGGGGGGGAAAAAATTTTTATTTTATTTAATTATCATGATGAATGAATTTTTGTACGTGCGTACGTGCGTGCGAGTGTGCGCGCATGCATGCGCCGCGCGTGTGTTTTGCGTGCGAGTGTGTGTCTGAGCGCGTGTGTGCGTGTGTGTGTGTGTGTGCGTGTATGTAAGTGTGTCACGGTGTGTGCGTGTATATTATGTACTTGCGTGTGAACGTGTGTGCCTACGTGTATACGCGCGCGCGCGTGTGTGCGCGCGTTTTACTGACGCGGTTATATATATAGACTCATCTAGTGGTGACCGCTATTTGAGTTTGCGTTCCATATTTACCAAAAAAGTGCTTAAAGTGCTCATGCTTGGATTAAAAGTTTATGGAAATAAGCAACCATAACTTATGAAAGACGGCACCTAATATAAAACCCTGACGCGCTTTTTTACAGTGATGTGTTACAATCTTTCAGAGTTGTAGGTGAGAGGTGTACAGGGGGGAGGGTACGGGAGAAGGGGGGACGGGAGACGGGAGAGGATGAGACAGGAGAAAAGGAGGCGGGGAGCGGGAGGGGAACGCATGTTGGGGTTAGGGAGCGCCACTGCGCGGGAAGATTGAGAAAGAAGAGAGGATGAGAGAGCAATAGAGAGAGACGAGCGGAGTGGAGAGGCGAGGGAGAGCGAGAGAGAGAGAGTATACTAAGTAGAGAAAAATAAAAGAAATCCATAGCACGAAAAATAAATACATGAGAAAATACATTGTACATGATAAATATTATTTTGTATTTATCATGTACAATGTGTACAATGTACACCCCCCCCCTTCGCGTGCAAGCTACTGGTGTTCCCCCCACATTTCAAAATGGATTTGCGCGCCTGCAACCACCATGTTGGAGTCAACACGCGATATATTTGTTTGTGCAAATTTATTAATATTGTGCATAATTGAAGGCATTCGGTGTGTATTAATTTTAATCAACATACATTGCGGATTACGTAACGAGCGAGCGGTATATATAAGCCCGTAAGGGTGCCGTAACCCTTGCTTTGCATGTGTTGGAGGCTTGTTGAATTCAACTCTCAAATCTCATGCAGTTCGGCCATCAACTTACCGAATCACTTGATACTCCGTAACTATGACCCCCTCTAACCCTGACCTCTAACTCAGTAACTCAGCAAAATCCGAATCACTCCGAGTGTACGGCTCGCATGTGATAGGAATTGGACGATTTTAGGTTCGTTTTTGGATGAGTTCGTGTGCAAGCAGTTATAAAAGCTTATACTTATAGCGCATTGTGCGTTATGGCGGTTTGTATGTGTGCGTAAACGAGTCAGTGTGACGGTAGATGTAGAATACCAGAGTCAACGATACGGTAACTACAATAATCTTCTCTGTTTTGTGTTGCTAAACTATTATGCTATGATAACGAACTGAAATATAAGCCTATATATAGAGTTAATAAGACGACATTTACTGATTTACAGTGTTCGTAAATAAGACATGCATGCACTGTATCGAGTAGACCACAGGCACTTGAAGCGTTTCAATAAAATATAATGCTAACTAAATACGAAATCTATTTACTTAGTACAAAATTCTTAATGTTTCTATACTATAGGCCTACTCTCTTTCACCTGTTATCGCCGATAGTTTCCTACCATTGCATTACCGGCAGCCATTGATCTCGCGGCGCGACTGTTGCACACTAGCTCTCACTAATATAATAGAGTGCAACTATATCTTTTCGTGCCAGTGTACGTGGATTTGTCTCTTTGCCTGCGAGTGTGTGTGTGTGTGTGTGTGTGTGTGTGTGTGTGTGTGTGTGTGTGTGTGTGTGTGCGTGCGCGCGCGTTCATGTATGTATGAGAATTAGTGTGTGTGTGTGTGTGTGTGTGTGTGTGTGTGTGTGTGTGTGTGTGTGTGTTTGCGTGCGCGCGCGTTTGTGTGTTTTTGATTTTTTGCAGATGCACGCTCGTGCATACGCTGTATCTCTCTCCCTCTCTCTCAATTTCTCTTTCTCGCCGTCGCTTACTACAACTTCTACTACTACTAGCACAACAATCTCAACCATTCTTATTCAATTTACTGCTGCGCATACCGAACAACGACCTGACTGGTTCCGGTATAATAATTGCCCCCACCCCTTCTGGGAATGGCTATGCACACGAGTCCTTCGTTTGGTGTTCGCTGCGCTGACGCGCTTACCCAAAGGCTCCTGATAATAGTGAAGAATTTTTGTTTCGTCAAAATGAGTGTACGGCCGACAGGAAACGATCTCAAAATACAAAAAATCTCAAAAAATCTATCAAGATATCATGAAGACCCCGAGACAAAAATGTCGGGAATCATCGATTCAGTGCAATTACGATCGATGCGGAAAATGCACAGATGTTCTGATGTCTATGATCGAGTATAATATCCAGAAAAAATTTATTTAGTCATTGAAAAAATAGAAACTGATAGCCTTTGCAGCTGCCACAAATAAGGATATGGAATAACTCTATATCTGAGCTAAAAATGTGGTGCAGCTCTACTAGAAACACGAATAATACTCTTTTATTCTAATGGCATCTGACCTTTGTAGACATCCAATTTATGAAGGTTTGTGGGATTTTTTTAAACATATACAGCCAATCCTGCATGCGCGTTATACGCGCACGGACAACATTAATTCATTATGGTGATTTTACCCCTTGCAAATGGTCTCCTTCCGCTGGTATAAATAATAGAAGATTCCCTCTATAATAATAGAGGTTGCATGGTTCTCCATCACGCATATAAATTCTTATGCATTCACTGCCGTTTATGTGTAACTCGTATGCGCAGACGCTACGCAAGGCTGGCCAAAAGCATTTGGTAGCTAAATGGCGACACCGCTGAGGCTGTTAGTGATGGGCAGTTCAGCCTTATCATCGAGTTTTCTCTGCTAACTAGCA